CAGTGTGCACCAACATCTGGTTAGGATCAAGGGAACTAGAATAGAAAAAACTTAAAGTCGAAAAAAGTTATAATTGTAATGGATTTAAAACAGGTCACTTGAATAACCCGCTTGTTTTTGAAGATAAACGAGAATGCATTAGACCAAATTTGCTTAGTATCGCGGGCTCATTAATCGTAACTTTTAATTTAACTACATATATATATTTATTGTAATTAGTATCCAGCTGAGGAATGCCAGGAGCGAGTGCCAGTATTGATTCATCACGGACTGCTGTCCAGCTCGGCGGATTGGGTCCTCCTGGGCCCCAACAAAGCTTTGGCATATTTACTATCCGATAACAACTATGACGTCTGGCTCGGCAACTCTAGGGGTAACGCTTACTCCAAGAAGCACAAAATTTATTCTACGAAGGACAGAGAATTTTGGGACTTCAGGTAGTAAAAAAAAACAAAGAAAGAAGGTGCAACTGCTCCTTCATATTTACATTCGAATGTTAATAGCATAAATTCTACTATAAATAAATAAATTTAATTTAATTCGGGTGTTTTAAATGTAATTCAATTTTTGTGTCAATTGTTTGCAGCTGGCATGAGATCGGTTACTTCGATCTACCGGCGACTATTGATTACATTCTCGAATGTTCGAACCAGAAAGAATTATTGTACGTCGGCTACAGTCAAGGGACCACTGTGTTCTATGTTATGGCTAGTGAAAGGCCGGAGTACGCTAGGAAAGTCAAGGGCATGATCAGCATGGCTCCTATCGCGTTCTTGTCAAATCAGAGGAGCCCGTTACTCAAATGCGTCGTACACTTCTACGGGTTGTTGGAGGCAAGCTTCCCCTGTTATTGAAAACCAAAATACAAATTAATATATTGAATTATATTTTGTATTTTGTTCTTATATCTTCATTCCTTTACAGTGGGGCTCGGAGTACTGCAACGTACATCAGTGGTTCCCTCGGAATAGGCTGCAGGCGAAAGCCCTAGGCACGATCATCAGGAACGCTCCGGATAATTTTACTAAGGGTTTCTGCGTTTGCTGGTTCTCGCTGATCGCTGGGTTTGGGAGCGATCAGTTGGACAAGTCGATGCTACCGTTGATACTGGCACATTTCCCTGCCGGCGCCTCTGCCAAACAGATCGTCCATTACGGGCAAACTATTTTATCAGGTATATAAGCGATTTTAATGTTCTTATAGGTAACTGCAGAGCGAATAAATCAACAGAATGACATATTACTTGAACCCGTCTGTCTATAGGATCGTTTCGGAAGTTCGATTATGGTCCGAAGGACAATTTGAAGATCTACGGTTCGACCCAGCCGCCAAAATACGACCTGGAGAAGGTGAAAACCCCCGTCGTTATCTTCTACAGCGAGAACGATTTTTTAACAGACCCGCGCGATATTAAGAAACTTACGGATAGATTACCGAACGTGATTGATACGAGGAGGATCGAGTATTCGAAGTTCAATCACGTCGACTATCTGTGGGGTAGGGATGCCAAGACAATCTTGTATAATCAGGTATTGGCTGTTTTAAAACGATTCAAATGAAATTATCAGGTGAGTCTATAAAAGAAAAGTTTTAATCAAAGAGATCAATCACGATGAATAAATATAATATATTAATTGAACAAAATGTACAAAAATTGAACATAGGAACTGTTAAATGTATAAATTGTAATATTCTATATTATACATGCAATAATGTGTTGACTGCGGTTACCATTTAGAGCAGTTTGCGGATATATGACCATGCATGATTATTTGGACCATGCGTGGTCATACATTCGGTGTATATTATCTGCTGTATATTGTTAATAAATTGGAAATATTTATATATATATA